GGGAGTTGTTGGGGGCAGGGGTGGGCGGAGGACATTGAATCAGAACAACTCCAAGGTCTGTTCCTAGAGAGGTGAACAGTTTCCCAAGCCTCCCAAGCCCACTACATCACCACCGCAAGCTTTCAAGACCGGAAAAGGCAGAGGAGGGAAGAGGGCTTTAAGGATGCCCACTGAACCTCCACCCCCAACTTTCAGCGCCAGAGGCAGTGTTCTATCACACCTACCCTCGAAAGCCGGAATCTGGAGCGACCCCTTCCCCCACCGTCTTCAGCCCCTCCTCCTGCGGCTTCCCCACCGCGGCCCCCTCCCCCCCATTACAGCATCGCTCTGGGCGCCAAGACGGATTCAAGCCAGGGACTGCTGCAGTCGGCTCTCCGCCTCTCGGCTCCCGCAGCCTGTGTCCAGGCTCCGCAGCCTCCAGCTGTGCTTTGGACAGTCCCTTTTCCCCCCACCCCGCCCCCGCCATGGCACAATCCCAAGCTCAGGGCCCAGAGGCGGGCGGGCACAGTGGGCGCGGGCGGGGGTCCAGCACAGGAGGCAGGTACAGCGGGGCTGTCCCTCCACGCTGGGGATGCTTCGGCTGTGCGGACTGTGGGTGGGGGACGCCTGCCAGCGGCTCGGAGGACCGGCACAGCGCCCCATCCTGGCAGGGGCTGGGGCAGAAGAGGGGGGGCTCCCTGACCCCGAGGCCAGGAGCTGAGGTCGGGCGGCCGACCGACCGGGAAAGCCCGAAGGAGAGTCTCCCAAACAGACGGGCCTGGGGGGCTGTGTGTGACATTCAGGGCGTGACTGCGCCTCCGCGGGGCGCGAGACCCAGTCCGTGAGGCTGAGCCGGTCTCCGGCCGCCCGCCCGCCCGCCGCCGCGCTTGGGTCGCCTGTGCCCGGGTCGGCTGTGCGTGGCGGTGACACTTTAGGTGCCTGTTCCTGGGTCCCCGGGGAGGGGGGATCTCACTGGTGACCCCAAGCTGGGCGCCCCCAGCGCCGTCGCTGGGCGAGGTGGGCGCTCCTCAGGGACCCCAGCAGCCGCCCCCGGGCGGCGACCTCCGCCCTCCTGGGTCTGCGCGGGGGCGGGGAGCTCGGTCCCCCTCCCTCTTCCTTTCCCTCTCGCAGCTCGGCCGCCCTGCGCGGGGGCGGGGGCGGGGGCGGGGGCGGAGCGCGCGGGCGGGATCCCCCCGCCTCCCCTTCCCGGTCCCCGGGAAATCCAGCCTCCGTGGCTTGGACGCCTCCCGCTCCCGCGCCCGCTGCCGCTCGGCGCTCGCTCGGGGCTCCGCAGCCGGCGCGGCCCCTCCGCTGGGGGCTCCGCAGTGCCGGGCCCCGGTCCCTGCCCGCTCGCCCGCCCGCCCAACGCCGCAGCGCCCCCGGCCCGGGCCGTCGGCACCATGTAACCCGGCCGGAGCCCGAGCCGGGCCAGGTAAGCCGCGGGGAGAAGAGGGGACGGGGCCGCGCTCGCGGCGCCCTCTGCAGCGCCCCCCAGGCTCCGCCGTGCTGCGGTCCCGGCGCCGCCCACGCCTCGGGCTCTGGCAGCCTCGGCTAGCAGCCCCGGGAGAGGGGGAGGGGCTGGGCCTCCTCGGCTGCCCCCGTCCTCGCCCCGGCCTAGCTGCCCGCGGGCCCGACCTGAGGGGCGGGCGGGGGACCACGCGGACGGCGGACCCACTCTCCCGGTCAGGACCGCGGGGGCCCGGCAGCCCCGGCCGAGCCCTCGCCCGGCTGGAGGCTCGGGTCTGGGAGGGAGTAGCCCGCTGGTTGTGGGGGGAAGTCGTGGTGTTGGGGAGATCCGGAGAGAAGTTTCCTCTGCAGGTGTGTGAATGTGAGTGCGTGTCACTGTGTGTCTGTGCCGAGTGTGTCACTGTGTGGGTCTGTGGGTGATTGTGTGTGCCGGTGAGTGTATGCAGTGTGTGTGTGCGTGTGTCACTGTGGGCGAGACTGTGTGTGCATGTAAGGGGGTGTATGTAGCGTGAGTGTGAAGGGTGGTACTGTGTATGTATCGGTGGACATGTGAGTGAATGAGTGTGTGTTGTCTCCGAATGTACCTGTGTGTGTCTCTGTGAGTGTGTGTGTGAATGGATGTGTGTGCCGGTGTGAGTCTCTGTGAGTGGGTCCCGGTATCTGCCCTGTGTGACTGTGTGTGTGTGTGTGTGTGTGCGCGCGCGCCTGCGCGCACGCTGGCTGTGTGAGAGAGAGTGTATCTTAGCACGGTTCACTCTGAATCACCCACACCTGTGCTTTGTCTCTCCCCGCAACTCCCCCATTCCTGGTGGGACATGGGACAGGGAGATGAGACTTTTCCGAGGTTAGATCACCCCCACTTGTCAGGGGACCCCTGACCCTTGATTCAGGCAAGAGCTTGGTGGCACTTCCCACCTTGGTCTCCACCTTCACCTACCTCAGGGGGTGCCCTCTGGGATGCTGCTGGTTTTGTCCTTCCTGTACACTGAGGCCCCTAGTGGGTGGGAGGGGGGGACTTAGGGTGAGCTGGAGTATGTGCTTGTGTGTGCTGCTTCTCCTTTTGGGGACCTGGGAATTTGTGTCATCTCAGTAATGCTTCACCCACCGAAGGCCTTTTAGAGCTAGGAGCTGAGGAGGCCAGGTGGAAGCCTCTGCCCTGTTAGTCCTCAGAGCAGGTGGTACTTTCCCAGACTTCCAAGTCTCAAACCTTCAAGTTCTGGGCCATTGGTTCAGTCCACTGGCTCCAGGTGGGTCCCTACTAAGCTCTTTGAAGTAATAATAATAAAATAATGTCCTCATATTAGTTCAGGGCTTTTGAAAATGCTGTCCTCTGAACTTTTATTTCCCCAACAGCCTTAGGAAGCAGGCAGGACAGGTATCACGTTAAGTCATTTGAAATTGTTAATATTCAACTGTTTTTATTTAACCTACAAAAACAGCAATTTCCCATGGTTCAACCAAATGTAATGCCGATTTACAGATGAGGATGTTGAGGCTTGAGAAAGGAATTGCATTTCCCACAACCACACGCTGCTAGTCAGCGGTACAAAGAGATTTCAGCCCAGGTCTTTCAGTGACTCAAAGAACTGGGCTGGGCCAAGGTTAGAGACTGGTGCTTCCTGGTGTGCTCTCTCTGACCCTGGGGGCACTGTCCTCTCCCTCTTCGAAGTATTCCCTGAATGCTGGGGCTACTTCTGCACCCAGCTGCCAATGCCTAAAAGAGAGAGGAGGGGAGAAAAGAGGAGGAGAGGGGAGGGAGAGGCTTCGTGAGTTGGCAGTGAATCAGGGTCTAAAAAGGGAGCTGGGAGGGCTGGGGTGGCAGGTGTTTCTAAAAGGAACATGAACATAGGATGAACAGCCTCAGATGCAGCCCCTGCATCTCCCACCCGCCAGTGCCCCACTGATCCGGCAGGCCGTGCCCACTGCATTTTGTGCCAGGGGGCTCACATCCAAGTAGTGAGCTTGTATGTAACTACAGAATGATGACCAGGAAAGGACTCTTAGAACTGATTTGGTCCAACCTCTTCATTACAGACTGGGGACTCTGAAGCCCAGAGAAGGGAGGAGACTTGCCCAAGGTCACACGACAAATTTGTGGGTTCCTAGGCTAATCTTAGACCAGAACTTTGCAGTCCTCCATGTTGCCTTCTATTCCTAAACTCTCCCCACCCCCATCAGAGCTGAGTACTGGGGATTTTGGAAAAGAAATGAAGACTCAAAAAGCCTAAGGCTGTACATCTTTCAACCTGGGACTCCTTGCCAAAGAGAGAGTGCTACAGATGTCGCTGGGGATGGGGATTCCTAGCCACACCCACCACCGAGGTAGGCCCTGGGCTTGTCTTGATTCCTGCTGGTGAGGGGCTGGAGCTGCTGCCGGCCAGACTCCCAGACTTTCTTGTGTCAGTCCCTGCTTTCAGCGGCTGCCTGACACCTAACATCATCTCTTCCAGCCGATGTTGGGACTTGAGCTGGCTAAGCTCATTTTCCTTCATCCTACCCAGTTTCCAGTGCATTTCATCTCTAGCTGGATGGACCCTTCCTTACCTTATTGGGTTCCTAAGGGGTAGAGAAACTTCTGAGGCCTGTCTGATTTAGGAAGGGTCTGTAGTTACCCCCAAACCCTTTCTAATGAAATCTTCCAGAAGTGTAGGACAAATGATAAAGGGATTGCCCTCATTTTACAGGTGGGGAGACTGAAATTCAACAAGGTGCCCTGTATTTGATTGTTTTTAGTTGTTTTGAGGTGAGGTGATGAAGGGAGCAAATGACAACAAAAGCTTTTGCCTAGAGGAGCTTCCAAAGACCCCTTCTGGTCTTACCATCCCATGGTCAGGAAACCTTCACAGATTCTGATTTCATTCCCACTTGGTAGAGTCAAAGCTTTGTCACTCAGTGGGGGTTGGAAAAACAGCTGCGTACCCTCCACTATGCAAGCATTATGTCTTGATTCCCTCTTTATCCACCCCCCGCCCCAGTCTGAAGGCTGCTGGCTCAGCAGGCCTCCTGCCGTCTGGGGAGTCTGGGTTTGAGCTGGGGTGAGGCAGTGGCACCATCGTTATGGTAACGAGCTGCCAGCTCATCGTTGCTAATAACTTGTCAGGCCTCTGAGCTCCAAGCAGCATCTCTTCCTACCAGCCCTTCTTCCCATGTCACAGACAGAAAAAGTGAGGCTTTGAGGGAGGGTTCTGGGAATAAGGGAGTTTGGAGAAGTGGGTGGCCTTGTCCCTGGGACTGTAGCTGGAGGGCTGGGAGGAGGTTGTTTGGAGCTGGCTTACACATATGGTTACATAGGCTTGCATATGATTGCATGGGCTGTTTATGTGTGAAAACACTCAGAACATGCTTGAATAAACTTATACATGCTAGCTGACATGTTCATGTGTTTTTATACAGCAGCCAGCCCACAGGCAAACATGCTTCCAAGCATTAGAACATGCTTGTGCCTGAATACCGTCTTTACCATCTGCACATAAGGCACCCAAGAAATCTGGGTTTGTGGGGGTGTCCAGGTATGTGGGTGGGGATCTGATCTTTTTCTGATGCAGCTTCAAAGTGTCTTGTTAACAAAGGGACAGAATGGTCCCAGGGTTCCTTCTTCTTCCTTTCAGTTAAGAGCTCAAGAGTGGAAGTGGGCTGGGGATGGTGTCGGGGGCCCAAGCTTCCAGCTTCCAAAGGCCCCTGCCTCTTTGCCCTTTGAGCTCAGGTAGCCCCTGCCCCCCTCACTCTCTGTTCTTTCTTATCCTCTCTTCCTGTGTGTAAATATTAAAGAGCTGAGCCTGCAGGGTTGATGTAGACATGGGGAGAGAATGAAATTAAAAAGGATTCCCTCGCCCCCATCTCGACACCCCCGCCCCGCAGTCCCTCGCTCCTGCTTCTTCCCCTCTCCCCTCTCCCCTCCCCTCACTCAGTGCTTCCACATGTCTCTCCTCCCCCCAGTCCAGATGGGAGCTGGCTCCTTCAGAAAGGGGGCTCAGAACAGGGTGTGGGGAGCTACCTCTCTCTGCCTCCCCCCACCACATCTGCCTGCAGGGCTGGGAGCCCCCACGTGAGTATTTCTTTTATTTTTGGGGTGGTGGTTAAGAAGGAAAGTGGTTTTTACAACCAGCTGTGAGTGGCGTTGAGAGGCTCTGGGCTGAAGGAAGGTGGGTGGGGTCCTCTCTAGGTTCCTTCAGGGAAGCCCCGTGTCTGGGTTTCTTTTCTCTCTTGGGACATAGAGGGAAGGTGGGGTGGGGTTTGTCAGGTGCCCCCGGTGGATGGGAGCGACAGTGGGAGGGGCGGGGGAGAGGGGCTTCTGTTCTAAAGAGAGTGTGTGGCGGGGTAAGCTTGTTTCTTCCTGGCGTCCTGGGTTTCTGGTTACCGGGGCCGGGAATGTAGCTGGGAACTGTCCCGGGTGCTGAATAGGACTCGGCGGGGATTTGTTCTTTCAGAGCTGTCCCTAGTGCTGAATGGGGCTTCCTTCGGTCCCGAAGGTGGAAAGGTGGTGGGCAGTGGGGAGGGCTCACTAGAAAAATTCTCCCAGATGACCCATTTTCTAAGGGCAGGGTCCCTGGATCGAAATATGGATTTGTGATTCTCCCTATGGTTTAGGTGTCACAGTTGTTAGTGGTGTTTAGGAACCCTTCCCCCAAGGGGTCCCTCTCCCTTTTTGTTTCAGTTCCCCCTCTCCCTTCCAAAACCATCCTACTGTTAGTGTAGGGGTAGAGGTGGAGAACAATACTGTGCCTGTGAGCTCTCATCTCCTGGGAACGTTTTTTAGTGCAACAAGCTTAGAGGTATTGATACCAGCCTTTTACCTACTGGGTCCCAGAAGTTCAGGCTCAAGGTGGCTCTGGATTAAGAGAGCTTGGATCTTTCTGGTTAGGTGTAAGGTAGTTAGAGCTGAGGAGTTCAGGATAACTTATTGACCACTTGATATTCCCTTGCCCATCATACTTTGGGATTTTGGACAGGGGACACCGAAATATTCTGCAAGCCTGTCTTGTGTTCTGCCCATTTCCAAACCTAGCTCAGAGCAGCATTTGGGAGATACTTTTGTTGGGGAGGAAGATTTTTAAGCAAATGATTCAAGGAGTGGGTGGGGTTGTTCAGTGCCATGGAGAAGAGAAGGAGGAGGCTACTGGAGACAGGGCAGTGGGAAAAGAGGAAGATCTGGAGGAGTAAAAAATATTCAAATGGAAGGATGAGGTCTGGGCTTCAGACTTTAGTTCTCTTGGATATCTTTCTCCTTATGGCTTAGAGTCAGGGTTCTTTCAAGTACCTGTATTCTTATGGATTGTCTTTGTAATCATGAAGGGAATAGAGCAAGAGTTATTTCTCAAGGTCCCTTCCCTTGTCATCCCAGGGGGATGAGAGCCAAATGTCAGGACATGCAGATGAGTCTGTGGGGTAATAACAGGCAGGAGGGGTTGATGGTGGCTTCACCTCCCATCCCCAAGAGCACAATCAGATATTCAAACGGGATCCTTCCTGTGGGGAGAGGAATGAGACAGTTTCCAGATAATCCTGGGCAAAAATTGGGTGTGGCAGGGAGTTCAAGAAAAGGGAGAGGTATCTAGGGACCTCAAACTGAACCAGTTATCCCTTCCCAGATGTGACTTCTAGTTCGTAAGGAGCCCCTCACCCATCATGTTTTTGATGTAACTCATCAAGATGATTCCTGCCTTCTCTAGCTGCTTGGGAGGAGCTGAGTTTTCCTATGCTGTGGGTGCTGGGAGGTGGTGGGTGTGGGTGTGGGTGCCTGTTTGGGGAGGGGAGGTGTTTGTGCTCCACTCGGCTCCCTTGGTTACATAACAGCTTTGATAAGACTTTACTTTGGAGCTGCTGCTACTGCCTGAAGCAGTCACCCCTCCACCCCCACATGAAATGCTAGATGTCCACCCCCTTTTCCCTGGCCCCTTGGAGAGTCCTGCTCTTCCTGATCCACTGTTCCAGCAGCTGCTTCCCTGCCAGGAGGTGTCTGCAGCTTGCCTCCCTGCTCCCTTCCAAGCTCCTGTTTTTAAAATACTTGCTTCTTTTGTTATTTGAGTCTAGTTTACCCCCTTTACATTTTTAAGCCTCCTGGTTTACACTCTCCCTTGGCAGGTCCCACAGGCTGGGAAGGGAGGGGTTCACTGAACATGAAGCTGCCCTCTAGGGAAGAAAAGAGGTATCCTAGGAGTTTTAGTACCCACAGTTAATTTCCTTACTGTTTCTTCCTCTGCCCCAATAACTATTTTGGAGTTTAAGAGTGTTAGACCTTGAGGTACTGGGAGGAAAGACTTTGGCCTTGATATTTTCTCTTTCTTTTCTTTCATTCATTCTTTTTTAGAGTTAAGGGGTTGCACAGATGAGGGATTGTCTCCTGGGTTTGAAGAGGTACACCTACTTTATTGTTACTCCTACCCAGGTTTTCTGAGAAAATATTTGTTTCTCTAGGCATGGGATGAGGGAATGACAGAGCCCTTTTTTAAAAATGACATTTTTCCCCCTGAGAGTGGGTGGGAATGGGACGTGTCCAGGAGTGGGTATATCCCATTGACAACAGGACCAGCTTTCCAAATAGAGAAGTGGGAGACTAGCAAGAGGAAAGAGCAAATGCAAACTTGTAATGTACTTGAAGAGAATATGAACTTTGTGGACAGGATAGAAGCCAGAGGAGGGGCTGGATTATCTCTGCAGGACCTGGGACTGCAGTACACATGCATGTGTATTTCTGCCTGTGAGTGGGTATTTGACTGTGTATATGCATATAAGTATGTGTGAGTATGCTGTGTATATGTGTATAAGCATATTTATTTATATAAGTGTGGATGTGTATGTATGTATGTGTGTATGGTTATGTATGCATTCATAGATATATGTCGATGTGAAGGAAATTACTGAATTAAACCTCTGTGTGTGTGTGTGTGTGTGTGTGTGTGTGTCTGTGTGTCTGTCTGTCTCCGTGTGTGTGGTGTGCTTACCCAGTAATGCATATATATGAGTGTAAGTGTGCATGTGAGCTTGTATGTGGGGCATGCATATACATACCATATTGACCACATATGAATATATGTACTCAAGTTGAGTGAAACGTGAATAAATTTAAGAAAGAGAGAGAGAGAGAGAGAGAGAGAGAGAGAGACGGATTCTCACTGAACGTTGGGCCACCCAAAAGTGTTTTCCCATTAGCTTGAACTGGATCACCCTGCTACCTGGAGCTCTTCTCCAGAAAGTAGGCTCCCTGAGTTCTCTCAAATTCTCATGTCCTTGAAAGCCAACTGTTCTCCATCATATGAAAGGAGTTTGCAGAGGGAAAACCTAGAAGTCCTTGGGGATAGCTGAGTAAGAAATCCAGTTTCCAGGCTGTTCAGTTGCTGTGGTGCTCAGGGCTGTATGTGGGGAAAGAGGATGGGGGCTTTAACATTAACATTGCTATAGAGGTTTCAAAATTCAACAAGTTGCGCTTGTTGGATGAAAGGGGTAGTGAGTAAAAGGGGGGCCCAAGTGTATGCATAAGCCTCATACATATGAGATGTGGCAATACACACGTACAGGCATATGTGTATATTACTTGTCTGTGCCATCATATGCATGTATCAACATAAGTGCACTTTCTCACATGTACATACATAAACAAATCTACAGGAATGTCTAAACCAACATGGGGATTTGTCAGCATGCACATACATGCTGACATGTATACATGTATATACATGTATACATACAGAAATACGTGGGCATATGCTAACACTCGTCTGATTACAACCCGTGGCCATATATATGTGCATCTCACTCATCTAGGTTAACAGTAGCCTGCAAACATACCCTTCCCCATCACACATGCTTCACCCAATGCAGCCATTCATTCAATCAGTGTTTATTTTATGCCTCTAATGTGCCACAGGTTGTGTCGGGCACTAGGGATGGTCCTTGACTCAGTTAGCTTGCAATCCTGAGAGGGTGAAGGACGTGGAACCAAATAAGGAGAGGGTTAAGGAAGGTAGACACACGTTAAGTGTTCATTGGAGGGAGTGGGGACCTGAAGAGAGGTAGGTTGGCTCTGGAGTGGGGAAGGGAAAGGTTTGGTAAAGGATCCATAGAAGGGGAGGCTTTTGAGTTGAAGCTTAAAAGTTGAACAGGTGCTTACCAGGTGAGCAACTGTGGGAACAGGTATTTCAGTGACAGGAAATGTTCCAGATGGTCTTCTTACTTCCACTCTTGCCAGCCCCACCTCCACAGACTCTTCCCCAAAAAGCAGCCAGAGTAAAATGAGGTCTTGACTTTCCAGGGGCTTTCCATTTCACTCAGAGTGAAACCCAAAGTGTCATGGGTCCTGAGCGACGTGAGTGCTGTGTGTGCAAAGCCCCCATTACTTCCTAGATCTCAGGGCCACTCCTACTGTGGGCTTCCTTTCTGTTCCATAAAAAGCACAGTTCCACCTGGAGGCAATTGCGCTTGCTTTCCCCCTCATCCAGAAATGCTCTTCCCCCAGATATCTAGGCAACTCACTTCCTCACTGTATCCAAGTCCTTGCTCAAAAGTCACATTTTTAGAAAGACCTCCCCAATAGTCTGTCTTAAATAGCCCCTTGACATTCTATCTCCTCACTCCATTATTATTAATATTTTTATCTCAGTACTTGCCACCACCTTTATTTTCTATAGTTGGTTATCATCCCTCTTTTTCCACTGGAATATAAACTTCATGAGCATGGGAACTTTATCTGTTTTGTTCATTGCTGTACTTACAGTGTCCAGAAAAGTATTCAGCTCGGAGTAGGAACTCGATACATATTTGTTGAATAAAGAAATTTTAGATAGCTGGCAGCAAGTGGGGAGAAAGCATCAAGGTGGAATAAGATGCAAGGCAAGGAGACCTGTTAGGAACCTGTTGTCATAGCTTTGGTGAGCAATTAGGATGAGAGTGGCCTGACGTAGAACACCAGCTGTGGGGGTGGAGAAAAGGAGACACAATGTACACACGCATGCACAAATATACATGCATGTGCTTGTACTTCAACCACATCTGCTGCTTTAGTAGGGGAAGGCCAAGGAGGAAAGTAAAAGTGTCTTTATGTGTATATGT